ATACACAATTTGGGACCTACAAGGCTCAGATCAAAATGGAACACTTTAATTGTAAGCAGTAAATATTTGTACATAAATATCGTTTTATATTAATTTGTCGAATCGGGATTAAATAATCTTTACTAATTGTAATCTTTTGCTAATTTTTTGCCTTACTAATCACATTAAATTAATTAATCTCAAAAATAATAATTTCTTCTACACACAGTAGTGCGCGACTGTACGTAATGCAAGCAACCATCGCTAATTGAGCTTCTTTCGGTACACTGAACAGCAAAACCTTTTAATTTAATATCTAATAATATTCCAATTGTACACATGGGTGGGATGATATTTGAGCTAGCGAGTTTTAAACATCATCTGCAGTTTGAGAATTCATTTGTTCCGTTCCGTTGTATTTCAATGCTGTACAGTTGCGGCGTAGCATCCATTATACTGTATCGTGTCGTGGGTGCCGTAAGAGGCGTCAGAGAGAAATAAAATAGAAGGTAGGTTTAGGTAGCAGCATCTTCCTGATAACAAATCGAAACTGAAGTTGCCAACCCACTGAGCGTACCAAATATACTAAATGTCCCTCCTATGCAAAGATTTAAATAGTTAGATGCGCCATTACCATAGTATGACCACTCCGAAATGTGTCCATTCTCAAATGAGTGAGCTCACTCATTCGCAATCAGTGCTCATTTGTGCAACAAAGAAAGAGATGTCACTATTGCATTAGAGTGTGTGCACGTCAGCGTATTGCAAACGAACACATCCAAAAATAATGCCACAGTTTTCAAGGTGAAGGCGCATCTAACTATTTAAATCTTTGCTCCTATGAGGCAATCTTTGGGGGAAGCCTTTATTCAGCGACGGACTTTTGATAGTCTGTATAGAATGGATGGAGTGGTTATATTTAAATAATAAACCATGAAATTTTTTGCCCTGTTACATTTTACCTCTTTGTATTTCTACTCATAGTACCTAATATTCCACATCTTCGAATAGCCATCTCTCTTTGTAGGGAACATATGCTTTAATAGTTACGCTCGGCAGACAGATTGACGATTGCAGTTCAATCAACGTCTCGCTTCTGTTGCAATCGAGATGATAGCGCCATCTGTACTATCGATAGCCGTAACATCTTTAAAGCATTGAATAAACTATACGAATTTTATCGAGTTTAATTAACTTATTTAACTTATTTTTAATTCCCGACGTTTCTCCTCATCCTATTCTTGTCTAATTATCTTTTATCAGAGTTTCTTTAGCATAACTTATCGGTCTTCATTTTGGACTTTTTTGTCAATGACCTGCTGGCATAATTAAATATTTTAACATGTTAACCCCTACGACAATGTAAGGAATGGCTTTAAAAATTAATAAAAAAGTAACATTTTCAAAAACCAAATTAGGAAAACAAAGTTTTACACACTTTTTTCTTGCAGCGTGTTATACTCAACCATTTTTCATTTACCGACTAACAACATCCATGAAAGCACATTTCCTTCAGTAATAACGTTGTACACGACCTGTAATTTCAAAATTTCTATTACCAATTTCGTAATTATGGGAGAGGCGAGCAAAGTTCTTTTTAAGCTGGTCAACTGAGCTCAGAATTAATAAGCCTTATTCAAAGACGGCGTAAGACAATCCGCTATCACTTTTATACTTGTGTGTTTGTCGTAAGAGGGGACATAGGGAAACCGAACCAAGAGATGGGTAACAGCATCTTCCTTATAAAAGCTGAATAATAATAAAACCTGCTTGCTTGCCAAGCGTGGCAAAATGTCATAAATCCCTTGACTATTTGGAATGTCAAACCAACTGACAGCCTAAGGCTGAAATGGTCATACCATCAGGTATGACCATTTCAGCCCTAGGACATCTGCAACCTACTTCAATCTAAAAAAGTTAATAGATTTATTTATAGGATAGGGTAACAAACTAGCACACAGTCCAGCTGACGGTAAGTGGTTGCTGCGGCCCATAGACATCTACATCTATCCTCGATTACAAATCAAAATGCAGATGCGTTGTCACCCGTGAGGACTAAGATAGAATGCCTCGTTTTCAGTAAAAAGGGTCTCCGGTTCTCAACACTCACTATACGAAACACAGCAGCATCAAGCTACTATTTTACGCTGGTGAGAGCGTGGTCCTTCCCCGGTCGAGGCGACCCGTACGTGCTACAACTATACTACTGTTGGCGACGCGTCTATAAGAATATTTCAATTTATTAGTTATCCGATTACGAACAGCTTCTAAAAACAAATTATCGAGCAATAATATTCTAATAAGAAAACACTTAGTTGAATCTTAAAGAAATATCGAATTAATAATTTGAAGGTCTTGGGTTCGATTCCCAAGCCGGACTAGTTTGTCGTTTTCTTAGTAATATTTTCTTAATAATTAATTACTCTCTCACGGAACGGTTTGAAGATAATTACTGTTTTATTCCTAAGGGATCCTTCACCTTTAAAATAAGTACAGTTCATTGGTGTCGCTAGCGCGGCACATATTGAAGAATTTAGGCGTTGGGACCGGGACGACCTCGGAAGACCCGTAATCCCCACCAGAACCTATTTGAAGAAAAAGAAGAGGTCGACGCCCTTGTGTGTTACTCCGTTGCGGGGTTCACATACGTTGTTCCCGAACCCAACGTAGGTGTCATGGGAAGTTAGGGAATCCGCTGCTGAACGAGCCGTGACGAAGACCCTTCCCTCGTTCATGTCCTTTTTCAACTACTAATATAACTGCAGCATGACTCTACCACGTTTAAGATGCATTACCACCCTTGCAAATTTGCCAGTAAATATGATTGATTGTGGGGCAATTCTAGCGCTGATTGCCGAAGGTAAAAATAATTAAGAAGGTGACACCAACTGGGTGTCTAAGGCCAAAAAGGAACACCTTTAAATACATATATTTCTTTTTAGATTTCGATTATTTTTATTTTATTTATCGATTAATACTAGAAAAATAATGGTATTTAGATAGAGTATATTGTTAGTGTCAATATTCAATGGCTTCGTTTCGTTGCGGCCCAGCGTATGATTTGCTTCTACGCCCTTCATTACACAGAGTTGTTCCGTTCATTATTAGGTACATCAATTACTATCATTATTTTCGATTTCCAATGAATTATGTTAATCAACGTACTATACTTTCTCAATAATAAACTATTTTTAGACCGTGTAGTGGCGGTGTAAGTACCTATCTTCTCTATCCCATGTCGCCTGTTTTGTCGTAAGAAACTCGCAGAGGGTAACAAGCCAGGATATGGACAGCAGAGCCTTTTAATGACATAATATATAAACACTCACGCCTGTCACACAGAGGGGTAGGCAGAGACTACAGACTTCCATTTGGCACGATCCTGACACACCTATCTCGCCACCTCCACATTCATATACCTACGCATACATGCTCTTCGGTTAAGGGTACTCCTAATTTTGCCCATTTTCAATATTTCACCAATATGGTCAATAATATTTCGCTTCGGACGTCCCTTTACGACTCTTCCATTCATTTTTGCAACGTATATTTGCTTTGTCGCCATTTCCTTTTACAGTCTTTCTACATGACCAAACCACCGAAGCATTCCTTTCTTAATCATGGTCACAGCATTATCTTGCAAACCACACTCCTAATAACAAGTAAAAAAGTTAAAAAAACAGCGATTGCAAGCTCGCTGCCAAGCGTTGCTACTATGGTAAATAACTTCCTATGAGGCAATTTATGGGGGAGGCCTATGCCAACAGTTCAATATATGGGAGAGGTGAAATATTTGACAGCCTTGACTTGAACGACGACGAAAAACTTACACTTAAGTAACTACTTTTCAATGATGGTAACACTGTGTTACCATCACCGTATTAAGTTCTTTTTAACTTCACCAACTAGTGACATCTAGTGAGCGTCACATTATTAGCCCTCTTTAGAAACCTTTTCCTATTCTGAATAGGCGTATATTGTTAAAATTTATTCGAACGTTTTGACGAGTTACCTCGGTTTCATAAGACAATATATTATGTATTCAAAACATTTTTCCTTATTAACTTTACGCATGACAATTCCGCTACGCTTCCTGCTTTGAGACCTTCGAAGTGCCCTTGAAATATATTAAATTTGTAGGATAATACAGCGGTGAAGTTAAATTTTATATACTTCGACCTCGTTTTATCTATGGAGTAAACTGTTTTTAAAAACGAAACCTAGCGCTAAGAGCTTTTAGACATGGCATTATAATGTTATGCAAATATCAAAGCCAAGTTTTTTAGTCTGTTTCGCTTCATATCTCACGTGAAACATTTTAATTATGTAGATAAAATAAATAAATTTTATATGGACTTTAAAACAAAATTTGGTTTCGGTGCTTTGAAAATACACTGATTATATTTCTTATATTTATTACTACCAATCTTAACTCTACGTATCTTAAGCATTTCAGGTTATACTATGTCATTTACATAATATTCATGGGTCTTCATGAACAGCTCAACATAAGTTATCGATAAACATCCGACTCACAAGTATCGATAATAATGAGCCCCTTTTAATGCAAATGAGGAATTCCATCTTAATATTCAAGGGTGACCAAGCACCTGTATTTCGACTATAAATTCTTAAAAGAGAATAGATATAGATTTCTACAGATTTAGATTACCATCGGGTGGTCCGTGTGCTAATTGTTAAATGTAAGTCGTAATAATGTTTCCCTTATTTCTTTGGAAATATATATATATATATATATATATATATATATATATATATATATATATATATATATATATATATAAAGATGTATATATGTAGTTAAGAACTAGTAGTTATCACCCTGTGGATATCGTAAGATGTGAAAAAGGCAAACAAACTAGGATACGAGTAGAACCGTCTTCCTTTTTTAACTAAATATAAAAAAACTGCGACCACCTACCCGTACCTTACTATCTTCTATTTCTATAGTAAGTTTAAGTGCAAATCTTACATAAAAACAGCCCTATCCTTTGTTGCAGAGCTATCGCGGCCGCAAGCCCCTCGGCGGTAGTGTAGTGCCGGTGCCCGGAGTGCCCGGTCTGAGCCCCGGTGTGCCGGCGGCTGCCTCGCCCTCCCCGGCCCCCCAGGCTCCTGCCGCGCCCAGCCCTTCACCAGCCACCACGCCAGCCATGAAGCAGGAGCATCCAAGCCAGCCCATGGTTAGTGCAATATTATCTGTAGAATATATTAATGATCATGTTTATACGTGGTAGAGCCCCACTGCAGATATATTATAGTTATAGTATTAATGTGTCAGCTCACCGGGGAAGGAACACGCTCTCACAGAGCACCAGTGTAAAATAGCAGCCTAATACTGCTGGGTTTCATATGGTGAGTGTAGACAACCGGAGACCCTTTTTACAGGAAACGGGGCATTCCATCTTAGTCCTTGGGGGTGACAACGCATCTGTATATTAATTCTTAATCGAGGTTAAATATAGATGACAATAGGCCACAACATCCACTTCCCATCAGGTAGACTGTGTGGTCATTTGTCACACTTATTCTAAGAAAATATATACTGATGATCATCCACTAACTCATGCTGAGTTAGTGGATGATCATCAGTATATATTTTTTTTTGTGAGTTTACTTAGCCAGTGATTGTGATAAACTATTGATTATCAAGATATAATGAATCATATGTAACTGATATTATCCTGTTTGATAATATCAGCGATTGCGATCACCAAGATAGCAGGAACTTATATTACTACCAATCATACTCCTCAAGTAGCATCTTAATAAGCCAAATTCATTCTCCTATTTAAGTCTATTATCTCCTATTCAAGTCTAGTGAATTGAAATTGCGGAAGTTATTGACAGACATTTAAACAGAACTTTCTATAATATTGGAATAACAAAGGAGCCTGTATTCCACTTAATAATAAATGGCTACCACGGCCAGGGACACCTGCGACTATCTTCATATAATAATAGAGAAGTTGCCGCCTGGAAAACGCTAATCTTTTCTTAGGTAAGTCAGGCGACCTTTGCAGCCGGATAACTAAATTAAAAACAACCTTTATGAGATTATGCGATGAGAAAACAAGGAAGATTATAAAAAGCAAGGAATTAACTTGTAAGTTAAATTTAATCCGATTTCCTTGAAGCCGCTTTCCTTCGTTAGACCGTCATAAATATTTATGGAAAATAATAATAAGTTTCTTTCCTTCATCAATGTTTAAGTAAACATAAATCATAATCATCATCATTACATCAGCTATTTCTTCCGCCAAATAGCAGTGTTTGCTTGTTATGTTTCGGTCTGAAGGACATTGAGAGCCAGTATGATATAATCGGTGTCAGGATCGTGCCGAATGGAAGTCTGTAGTCTCTGCCTACTCCTCTGGGTGACAGGCGTGAGTGCTTATGTATGTATGTATATGTATATAATATAATCCTGAGGTACGAGTATTCCACCTTCGTCCTCAGAGGTGACAACGCATATAGCCTCCTTCGTTTTAATATGGTTGCAGATGTTCACGACAGGAGTAGCTACATACTTTCAACCGGACTGTAGATTCCTTTGTCAAATAAAAAAACAATTTAAGTTTCAACGATTAATCACTTTCATCTACTTGGCGAAATCTGTTCCTGTATAACTTTCTAAACTAAATTTAATCTGCATAAATGGAATTTATACTATTTACGAACAGAAGACACTAACTTATACTTCTTACTCAGAATACTTAAAAGAAGGAAATTCATCATAGACGTCATTCACGGAAATTCAACCGCCTCAGTTAACTTCTTTATTCAATTAATCTTATTTTAAACTTAAAGAGTTAGGATTGAATCTTAAATACTATAGTTTTTGCTGAATTAAAAAAGGAGGAGGTATTCAATTCGACTGTATATTTTTTTAAGTGTCCTTCGACACGGATTAGAACCGGGACAATTGGCCGCGACCATTATCCGGTTTCTCTGAGCCAGATTCGAAAGGGCAGCCCGTGGCTGCACCATTTTCTGGTTCATTTGGGCCGGATTTATAGTTAGCACCCTAACGCCTCAACATTTTCTGGTTCTCCGACCCGGATCAGAATCGGGACAATTGACCCTACCATTTTCTGGCCTTTCATTATGGATATAAATTTAGTCAGTAGCGCGACCAATTATAATTTTTACATATTATATTTTTTGAAACCGAATACTGCCATAAAAATTACTTTTAATTTACCCCAATTTATTTGTGTGGTCCCAAATAAATTTAATCAAGATCTGGCCATCTATTCATTGATGCAAAATAAAACATAGTATTATTTTCGTAAGATCTCAATCCATGAGTCTCAATCAATATTGCTGTAACTTTCAAACTATCTCTAAGTGTCAGCGTTTGATAAATGATATTAATTTATTTAAAACATTGTGTAGAGGCGGAGTAAGAATATCCACTACCCACTGTTCGTGACAACAACCTAAAATAAAAAAACTACGATATCCCAGCCACTATTCCGATGATATCCCGGACGTCAGTCTGAGCGAGATTAGAATGGCTCTCCAGCACCTTAAAAACGGCAGGGCCCCAGGCGAGGATGGAATTACAGCGGAGCTTCTGAAAGCGGGTGGAACACCGGTACTTGAAGTCCTTCAGAAGCTCTTCAATTTCGTCCTCCATGGTGGCACTACTCCGGAGGCGTGGAGCAGAAGTGCGGTGGTCTTGTTCTTTAAGAAAGGCGACAACGCTCTCTTGAAGAACTTACAGACCGATTTACCTTCTGAGCCACGTCTATGTGCTGTTTTCGAGAGTCATTACGAATCGTCTCGCACGCATACTCGACGACTTCCAGCCTCCCGAACAAGCCGGTTTCCGAAAAGGCTTCAGTACCATAGACCATATACATACCCTGCGGCAGATTGTACAGAGTCGCTCAGCGAGCTATGGAGAGGGCTATGCTCGGAGTTTCTCTGCGTGATAGACTCAGAAATGAGGATATCTGCAGTAAAACCAGAGTGACCGACATAGCCCAACGGATTAGTAAGCTGAAGTGGCAGTGGGCCGGCCATATAGCACGAAGAACCGATAACCGATGGGGAAGAAAGGTTCTCGAGTGGCAGCCTCGTACCGGTAGGCGTAGTGTAGGGCGACCCCCCACTAGATGGAGTGACGACCTGGTAAGACATGCAGGAAGTCGATAGATGCAGGTGGCTCAGGACCGTGCTTTGTGGCATTACTTGGGGTCGGCCTATGTTCAGCAGTGGACTTGTGAAGGGCTGTAATGATGATGATGATGATGATGATGATCCCAGCCACCCCCCTCCCCCCTCACTGGTCTCCTCCTAAGTGCGTGATGATTTAAAACATTTCTTATTGAATATAATCATTAAAATATATATATATATATATATATTTTTTTTTTTTTTAAAATATAATATTTTACTACATAGCAACCTGTAATGCCGTACATTCCTCGTTAATTGGATTCGGTGAAAATTTTCGTACATAAACAAAACTCCACGTTAATTCCGAATAAGTTGTTTAAGCTATTTATCTTTACCATATTATATTGTTACGCGAAATAAAACATTCATAAGAGACGGTTTTGATAATTATAATCGAGTTTACTCCGTTTAATTGTGTTTGTTTCTTAGAGGAATCAACTTGGATGTCGCCCGGCGTCGCTTTATTTGTTTATTTTGTAAATTTATTTGTAAGACTAGCGCACACTTACCTTTAATGTGTATTGTTATCATCATCATCATCATCATCATCATTACAGCCCTTCACAAGTCCACTGCTGAACATAGGCCTCCCCCAAGTAATGCCACAAAGCACGGTCCTGAGCCACCTGCATCTATCGACTTCCTGCATGTCTTACCAGGTCGTCACTCCATCTAGTGGGGGGTCGCCCTACACTACGCCTACCGGTACGAGGCTGCCACTCGAGAACTTTTCTTCCCCATCGGTTATCGGTTCTTCGAGCTATATGGCCGGCCCATTGCCACTTCAGCTTACTAATCCGTTGGGCTATGTCGGTCACTCTGGTTTTACTGCGGATATCCTCATTTCTGAGTCTATCACGCAGAGAAACTCCGAGCATAGCCCTCTCCATAGCTCGCTGAGCGACCTTGAGCGTCCTCATACGGCCAGCAGTGAAGGACCACGTCTCTGTTCCGTAAGTCATCACTGGCAACACGCACTGGTTGTACACTTTAGTTTTCAGAGATTGAGGTATACCTGAAGAGAAGATGTGTCGTAATTTCCCGAACGCTGCCCAGCCGAGTTGAATCCGTGGATTGACCTCTCGGTCGAAGTTGGACTTACCTAGTCGGACTATTTGTCCCAGGTAAACGTACTCGTCAACAACTTCTATCCTTCGTCTTCTTCGTGTATTGTTATATCCGAGCAAAATCTATTCGTCGTCTACCGTCCGTTAACCGTCAACAGTCCGACTAGATAGATACAGTAGTGTAATTAGGGAATGCAATCCAGCACCCAAAAGATTATCTCGCATATCCGCAAGATTGAGACCATTAGTCCCGCGGACACGCAAGATTTGCAGGATTTTACCTTTGACCTGACTTATACCTTTTTAGCTGGCGTTAAAGTATTTTGTTGTGAATACTGATGAGAACAGCTTGTACTGGCGGTTTCAGTATCACTAACGCTACGTACAGATTCCTCTGTTATCTTATACTTCGTACGCGTGTGTACATGCAAGCCACCGTTAACACTTAGAAGAAAATTACTTTAGTATTCACTTTTAAGTTCTCAATTTCAACTTTACTTATAGCCAATTATTAATTAATTAATTTTATTTAGATAGAATGTTGTTGTTCAAATATAAAAATAAACCGTTTAAATTTATTTCAATTTAAATCGCATGTCACAAAGTACGCACTTGTACGCACAGTACGTCACGAACTCACGAGTCAAAACTGAAATAGTGCAAGCATTAGTAGAGTATCGACAGATATTTTGGGGAATCCCCTTACAGAGAGAAATTCCCATTCACTCATCACTCAACTCACACACATACGTAATTCAATTTGGGGATCCGACTATTGTAGTTCATTCGTGCCATACATGATGTTATGCGAATTTAGGTCGGAAAAATAAAATCTTGCAAATCTTGAGGATCCCGCACTTGCTATCCCGCATTTGTAATCCCTTTGCATTGCGCATTGCGGGATCCCGCGATTGCGGATCCGCGGGATT